CCGTGGGTCAGGGCACACCTGGACTCCGTGGGCTCTTCCGTGGGTCAGGGCACACCTGCGCTCCGTGGGCTCGTGGGTGGGTCAGGGCACACCTGTGCTCCATGGGCTCTCGGGTGTGTCAGGGCACACCTGTGCTCCGTGGGCTCTCCCGTGGGTCAGAGCACACCTGTGCTCCGTGGACTCTTCCATGGGTCAGAGCACACCTGTGCTCCATGGGCTCATGGGTGGGTCAGGGCACACCTGCGCTCCGTGGGCTCTTCCGTGGGTCAGGGCACACCTGCGCTCCGTGGGCTCTTCCGTGGGTCAGGGCACACCTGTGCTCCATGGACTCTCCCATGGGTCAGAGCACACCTGTGCTCCGTGGGCTCGTGGGTGGGTCAAGGCACAGCTGTGCTCGGTGGGCTCTCGGGTGTGTCAGGGCACACCTGCTCTCCGTGGGCTCTTCCATGGCTGGTTTTTCCAGAAGCAGGTCACAGGCCTTTCTTCTCAGGTGCATCTGGGTGAACTCAATCCTCCAACTTTTCGACTGGCAACTGAATGCGTTAACCATCATCAGCCCCCAGAGATTCCTAACAGACATTGGCCACCACAACTACAAAAACAGCCTCCTTGCAACACTGGTTTCAAAGCAGCCTGGCACCCACAGGCTGTCACCAAGTGCTGAAGGTGGGCAGCCTTCTGGCTCTGAACATCGTGTTGCCCAAAGCAGAGAAGCAGCGATGGACAGGTATAGAGGTCCCAGTGTCCACAAGACTCAGAGGAACTAGGGACTCAGGGGAAGCCCCTATTCCTAATACCTGGAAAAATCCCCCAAGGCTCATATGAAGTAGGGCATCTGGATGGGCACTGTCCCTTTACAAAAGGAGGGCGCCGAGATGAAGACAAACCAAAGGGCATGCTCAGGACGAAGGCAAAGAGGCCCGTCCCCGCTCCTCCAGCCCCTCCCTTCCTCACAGCACACGCCCAGCTGGACCCCCTTCGCCCACCCCCCTTCGCCCGCCCGGGGGCTGCCTGTCAGGAAGCACCATGCACATCACAGCGACAGCCAGGAGTCACGTGCCTGAGAGACCGAGCCAGGAGCCTGGAGTCAAGCAAGCCGCCCCGGGTTAGGACATCCCGTGAAAAGGCCCCCACAGCCACCAGAGTCCCGGAGCATCCCCATCCTCAAAACAGAGGAACCAAGACAGGCTCCCGTGCCGGCAGATACGGAGGACAAGTCGCCCAGGGCAAGTATTGAACAGGCGCCAGACACAACGGGTTACGGGTTATGGGTTACGCGCTCAAAGGGCTAGAGTTGAACGGAGAACAAAACCAGTTATAGCCAGGATGGCACGCAGGCGCAGGCGGCAGGGAGTTCCGTTTCTGAAAGCGGGGGAGGCGACCGGGAGGCAGCCAGGTGTATGCAGGCAGCGTGTGCACAGAGTACCTTCTCAGAGCCGACAACACACTCACAGGGCAGGATGAGAGAAACAAGAACGGGAAAGGAAAGAGAGAGGAACAGGCGAAAATTAGAAACTCCTGGGAACAGAAACGATTCTGACAGCACACCACCTGCCCCAGGAAGGACCGTGGCCGAGGGCGGGTGGGGCCACCGTCAGCTCTGCAGGGAGACCCTCCCACACCAAGTCTTCCCCGGGAGTCTGGGGCTCAGGGGACAGTCACGTCTCGAGAGGCCCCTTGCTATGGCCAGTGTGTTGGACCCCAACGTGACTTGATCCTACACCTACGTGTGTAGGATCATTCTGGGCTGATCTCCCTGATAGTATGTTGCTGTCCCCTCCACCCAAATTGACCTGTGTCTCCCCTCTAATCAGTGGTTCACCCTCCCTCCCCCACCCATCCCTGGGACCCATCAAAGGATGTTTCTTTTGTGTGAAACTCGTTTCTTGACTTTTTACAGTAGTGGCTGACAGTCTTTGATCCTTTTGTGATTGGTAAATTTCACTAAGCATAACGTCCTCCGGGGTCATCCCTGTTCTGAGGGGCTCCTTTTCAGCCACCAACTACTACCCCACTTCAGGGCGGACACTGTTGATCCTTCCTGCCAAGATGGCGGGGCGAATTAGTCTCTGTTCCTACAGCCAGCAGCGGCTTTAAGGACCAGAGCACCGTGCAGCAGTCACAGCCAGCAGGGGACAACGGCCCGCTGGCGCCATCAGCTCTGAATTAAACAATTCCTGAGCGCATGCGTCATCACGATGCCTGCGACGAGAGAACGGGCCACCCCAAGGCCTAGAGCAGGGCCCAACACAGAGGTTCTCTGTCGACATCGCAGGGTGACTGAGACACTGACACTGAGCCTAGGAGGGTTCCCGAAGGAGTCACCCGACTCCCACCAAACTCGGAGCGTCGACTCCATTCCCTGGGGGACCTGCCACCTCAACACCAGGACACTGACGACTACAAAGTGTCACCAGCGCCTCGGTGGCACTGGGCAGGGGGTCGGAGCAGGTTGCACCAAGCTGTCTCTGAAGCCCCAGCCCCTCCGCCTCTCTGAGCAGGCGCTGGGTGAGTGGGGTAAGCCACTGGGCTCGTCCGCGGCTGCTGGAAGGCCCACAGAGCACAGGGATGCAGGGAGGTGCGTCCTCTGTCGTGGCCCCAGCTCCGCCTCATCAGGGCTAGTGGCCACAGCACCTACTCGACCTGGTGGCCGTGTGGGCTGCTTCACTGGGTGAGGAAACTTGCCGAGGCCTCGTGGTGAGAGGACAGAACGCTGGCTCTGGCCTTAGACCGGTTTCCTTGTCAGCTCTGTCGTTCAGCAGCTGTCTGGGCATCTATACCTTACTGCCTCAGCCATGTAGGTAAAACGGGAGCGATGCCATGGAGACCCCTGGGCCAGCGTGAAGACTAACTCCAGATCTCACATAGACTGCCTCTGCTTCCTCACACCAAATAAACACGTCTGGGTGAGGAAACGGAAGTGACTTCCCAAGTGCAAAACACAGCCCACAGGTGTGGCTGGGCAACTCCACACTCGTAACTCACAGGCTGCGGGTGGCCTGTTTTCTCACACTTCTGTGACATTTTCCTCTGAGACCTGCAGCCAACTAGAATGTCATGGCGTGCCCCCTGGTAACCCCAGGAAGGGCCTATCAAGCACCTGTCTTCCACCACCATGCCGTCTGCTCCCCACCTGTGAGGTAACCACCCCAATCCTACAGAGGAGGGAGTGACCCAGGGCACCTGGGCACCTCGCCTGGGGCCACAAAGCCAGCTGGTGGCACAGGCAGGCCCCGCGCCCAGGTGAGGGGCAGGACGGCTCTCACCCGCAGAAGGGAGTACGTCCTAGCTGCCTGCGCACTTCACTGTCTCCTGCCTGGCAGCCAGATGGCGATCTAGCGGGATGCGCGGAGGATGAGCACGGACGAGGTGACAAAGAACAGCTCGTCACTGGTCCCGTGACCGCAGAGCAGGTAAACGTGGAGGCCGGCTCCTCCTGCAGAGGGCAGAGACACGCCTTCACGTGGACACAGCGGCTCTTAGGCACGGCCAGGTGCTATTTCTGACATTCTGATACTCCCCGGGCTCATCTCTCCACATGGAATCTGACACCACAATTATTAGCTCAGACCCAGAAGCTGGGCCCGGAGGCAACTCCGCCCTCATTCCCTGCTCTCTCCAGAGTCAGAGCCCCATCAAAGACAGGAGACCCAACTGACATTTTCAAATTGTGCTCCAGGGCGGCACTCTCCAATGGAGATAAAGCACAAGCCACATGTGTATGCAACTTTTAAGTTTTCCAATTGCCACATTTTAAAAGTAAGAAACAAACAAGTGAGCTAACTTTAATACAGTGAAACCTGCAAAGCCACAACCTCCAGAAGGCAGAAACCTGTCAGAGAAGGAAAACGCAAGTATTTTCCACTAAAATGAGCAACAGGAAAGTGGTAGGCCTGCCTGTCAAAGACAGGAAACTTAAGAGACCCAGGAAACCAAGGAGGTCCCTTGAGCTCTGGCGCTCACATGTGATACCGTATTATGCACTATTTAACAAATACATGCAAAATATTGTCCAACACGGAATCAATATAAAACACACGAATGAGGTAGTTGATACTTTTTTTCTGGACTGTGTCCAATTCGGGTTTGTCCTTTATTTATGGCACATTCAACCCGGACCAGTCTTGTTCCCAGGGCTCAAGAGCCCCCAGGGGTGGTGGCTCCCATATTGGACAGCACAGGTCTAGGAGGTCCCATTAGGGGATTCCTATTTACCACGGGGCATATACATACTAACTCTAAAAGACTTCCCTTAACCAAAGGCCATCCCCATTTGTAAAAGTGTGGAAACCAACGCACTGCACTTTTCCACCTCTGGCTACAGAAAATTCCACCAGGTGAAGACGCTTTCTGTGGGAAGAGGTAACCCAAGCAGGAAGCCACGCCTCAGGGCCCCCAGGCAAACTCACCTGCTATCGGTGTCCAATCCCACAAAGTCCTTTTTCTCAAATGGGACACAAAGAAGCGGGATCTTGTCCCCAGACTTGTCTGTGGCTCGATCCAGGCGCTTAGACTCTAGCACAATGAACAGCGACTCGATGAAGTCCTCGATTCTCTTCTCCACCGTCGCGCAATCGTCATAGTTGGGGTAGAAGGCCACGTCGGTGCGCGGCTGCTCGGCCACCTCGCCCTGCAGCCCGAAGACGAAGAGGCGGGAATCGTAGAGCGTGGCGCCGTAGAGCTCCTTCTGCGCGTGGAACTTCTCCAGGGTCTGCGGCCAGTCCTTGGCAGAGAAGCAGTCGGTGATGGTGATGAGGCCCACGACCTTGCGGTGGGTCTGGAAGTCGCCCCACTCGTTGTTGTCGGGCGGGTAGTGGTGCCGGTAGCGGATCCAGAGCACGCGCTGGGAGTCCCGGACGCTGACCTGGCTCACGGAGGAGATCCTCTTGTAGATTCTGAAGAAGTTGTCCTCAGAGACAGTCCCGACCGGCTGGACCACGACCAGCAGGGTCTGGTGGTCCTCAGCACACTGCATGTAATCGGGGACGCTCATTCTGAAATCCCTGGGCAGAAAGAAAAGCAAGACTTGAGGCACGCACCGTCCCGAGATCCCTATGCAGAGCAAGGCAACGCTTCCAACAGCGGGGCCCGCTTTGGGCTGCGGCAATTCTAACTTTTATGACCTGGAAGGCAGGGCGAGCCCTTAAGTTGTTGTTGCTGTTGCTGCTGGGTGGTGTGAAGTCTATTCCAACCCACAGCACCCCGGAGGGCAGAGCAGAATGCCCCACGGGGTCCTCTGGGCTGTCGCCTTTACGGAAGTAGATCCCCGTGTTCTCCTCCCACAGAGCCTCGGGCTGGGCTCAAACTGCCACCTTCTGGGTAGCAGCCGAGTGTTTAACTGTTGTGCCACCAGGCCTCCTTGAGCCCTGAGTACCGCTGTGAAATAAAATGTGTCCTTAGAGTGGGCATACAGCTGTCATGGCTCTTAGCACAACAGGGAAGCTGCTGGTTTCTTGGTCTCAGGGACTAGGCTCTGAGCTCCTGAAGAAGCCAAGTCTTAGCGTTCTCTTCCAACACCTGGTGGGCACCAGTGGACAAGAGGTGCACAACTTCATGTGCTGACAGAAAGAATGAACAAGTGAACGAACCGCTCCCCCATCCTTTGAGCAGGAAGTAATGAAAAGAACGACAGTGGAACCAGAAGACACCTGGGTTTGAATTCCCAGCTCCCTGAATCCCTCAGCAACAAAACGATGACGATGATAAAACACCCCCATAGGACTACTAAGGAGCCCTGGTGGTGCAGGGGCTAAGCGCTCGGTGCTAACCAAAAGGTCAGCAGTTCAAACCCACCAGCCGCTCTGAGGAGAAAGATAGAGGAGTCTGCTTCCATAAAGATTTATAGCCTAGGAAACCCAACAGGCAGTCCTACTCTGTCCTGAAGGGTCACTATGAGTCGGAATCAACTCAACAGCCACAGGTTTAGTTACAGGACTATCACGTGGATTAAACGAATGTTCAGCAGCTGGCATAGTGCCTGACGCAGGGAAGGCATTATACAAACATACTACCCCACCTCCCACCCCAGGTGCTATCCTGGGTGAGTTTCATAACGTCTCTGAGCCAGTTCTTCAGATATAAAATGAAAAACAGTAGTGCCTGCTCCTCGGCACTGTTTAATAACTAAATCAGCTAGACCACACGAAAGGCTTTGGCCCTCAGTAAATGTTTGGTGAATGAATGAACAGATGAGTGCTGTCCCCTTCCCCACAGGCTGTCAGATGGCGGTCAGAGGCCATAGCCATCTCCCAGCTCTCCCACTTGCCACTTGGGTGACCTTGGGCAAGCCCATGTGTGACCCTGCACCTCAGTTTAATCATGAATAAAGTTAGGACAATAACACGGACCTCAAAGGGCTACTACTGCACAGCTATTCCGGATTTGACCTTAGCCTGTAATTCGCCGGACGGTAAACCACGTGAAAGGGGGTGAGGGCCACACAGGCCACTCTGCATTATTCCTTACAACTGCACAGGACTTGAAATCATCAGAAAATGAAAGTCCACTATTTGGAAAAGGCCCCTGACATTCCATGACATCCCTCCATCTATCAGACCAGGGCTGTGAGCACACCTCATCCAGGACACACGCCGTACCTGATCCCAAGAGGATGCTCACGCTCGCCGAGTCCGGCCAGAGGCAGACGGACCGGAAAGCTAAAGAACTTAGCTCTGGGTCCCCACCATGGCCTGACATCTAACTGGCACCTGTCATGTTCTTTTCCTTAAAGAATCCCCAAGTTGGACAACGTTCACGTCACCAAAACCCACATCTGCCCAGACCATGGCAGTACCCTTCCCAGGTGAAACACCAGAATCAAAAGGCTACTCCACAAGACTTCCGTGGAGTTCTAAAGGCAGGAGCCTTCTCCTGGCCACTGGAAGGACAGGCAGGCAATTGTAGACACACGGTCCACGTGACGAGCTTTAGAGGACCACCCTCATCCTTCATCAACATCAGAACACATGTGGCCAGGTAGATAGGCATAAACAAGGTTTGAGAAGGAATTCCCGCCTTACTTTCGCCCGGGACATATAAGATTTTGAAGTCTATCACATTCCACATGACAATTTCACTGAAACCTCTGGGATAAGTAACACATGACCCTACAATTTTACTTCTGGGTATCTACTCAAAAAACTGAAAGCAGGTACTCAAACAGATACTTGTACACAAATGTACATTATTATTTTACATTGCCAAAAGGTAAAAACAACCCAAGTATCCATCAACAGATGAATGGACAAACAAAATGTAGTATACACATACAAACCAGTATTGTTCAACCACTGGAAAAAATAAAAAGGAAAGAATGACAGTGATTTTTTCAGGTTGCAATATTCCTTAGTTTCCAATGTCAAAAACCTAGATGCTTGGAGAAACACCAAAAATGAGTGTAACAGAATACATTTACTGTGAGTGGATCCAATTGGAATCGGGCAGCAGTATCAACCTGGTAAGTACCAGGAAGGAGCTACTCAAAGGGGGTTATATATGTCACTGTTATGTTAATTTCCCAGGAGATAGCATCAGAACCCTTGTGGGTTACAGGGTCTGGTCAGTTGCAGACAGAGGCACTGAGGACCTGCCATACATCTTCAAGGCGGACCCCACCCGGGGTTCCTGCTCCTCAAAGCTGGCTACACACAGCTAATTCTCCCAGAGAGCCTACCGCCTAAGGCAATCGAGTGTGAGTGCTTACCAGGCTAGCCTTGGACCTGAAAGTGACCCCAGGGTTCAAAAGGGGACCTACGGGCACACAGTCCGGCTGGGTCTCCCCAACTCCATGAACCCAGAAATCTGGATTCCAGGACATGACCCTTGGTGCTGTTCTGTTTCTTGTTAACAAATACTAACTGGGCTGGACCAGGAAGTGGCTGTAACTACAAAGAAAGTAACAAAAATGACAGTCACTGTCTATACTGAGCGCAGTGGGGGTGGGAGGGGCTGGCAATGTCCCAGCCCGGTTGCCTTGGAATCATTTTCAACTAAGCCCCTCCTTCCAACATTTTTACCCCTCTCTGTACAAAAACCTGTGAATTAACACACCACCGTCCTCACACCAAAAGAGCCCAGGTTCAAAGGCATTCACGCGGGAACGTAAGCCGGGGGAGGGCTCCCGGAAAACCCTTCTGGGGGACGGAGAAGCCCCAGCAGGCACCGCGGGGGCACCTTCTGTTTTCGACACTTCTCTGGGACAGCTGGAGTCGACAACGAGGATCTCAAGCCAGGGAAGCAACGGCCAATGCCTCGGAGACGGGATGGAGGCACTTTACACGCAGCAGAGTCGGCAGAGGGAAAGGGGAGCCCCGGATCGCCGAGCAGGGAGGGCGGCTGGGGGCCAGGGCTGCAGCCCAGCTTGGCGAGGGCCCAGGTCGGGTCCGCGGGGGTGCAGCCAGGTGGGGAACGGCGATTGGCGCCGCGGGCAGCCGGGAGGGGGCGCCCTGGGACCGCCGAGGGGACAGCCGTTGCGCACTGAGGGGGGCAAGGCCAGAGCCGGAGGCGCAGGTGTGGGGCAGATCCGAGAGGTGCGTACAGGACCCAGGCAGGGGTATAAGGCCTCGGACAGGTGCAAACTGGACCCGGGCCGGCAAGCGTGCAGACTCGTCCCCGGGGTGAGGCGGGAAGCAGCCGCAGGGCGAGCCCCCTGGATGGGACGCGCGCCGCCTCGCGCCGCGCAAACCCGGCACTCACGTCAGCCCTCCCCGCAGCCGGCGCCGGGTCCCGGGTCGCAAACCCCGCACTTTGCACTTACACAGCCGGTAGCCCCGGGCCAGAGCAAGAGACAACGGCCTGACCGGCAGCGGGGCGGAACAGCCTGTGCGGCCGCTTCCCGGCTCGGCGCAGGGGTTTCCGACCGGCGACTGAGCCGGCGCCAATTGCACGCATGCGCGAGACCCGCTCCGGCGATCCGCTCCGGGTTTTGAGGGAGACTCCCGGGAACGAGAGGAAGGGAGGAGAGAAGAGAGAAGGGAGGGATGGAAGGGAGCGGGGAGGGAGGGGTGCGGAGAGAGGGAGGGAACTAACAGTGGCCTCTGAGGAGCACCCAGGGGGAGGGAGAGTGTTTCTCTTCTGTGCTTTTTGTGTTCTCTGAATTTTTTGCCATATGTCTCTGTGTATTTTTCAGTTACAAAAAATGTTTTAAAATGTGACAGGGATCATTCTCTGAGCAAATACAGCAGCAACCAAAATGGGACGAGCCATCATGTTTGCTTTAGGCCAGCAAGCGCGGATGGGCTCTCTGCTTTGTGCTCAGTGCTGTTTTATGGCCTGTTTTATATTCATATTTTCAAAAAAATAATAATACGCTATCCCTCACCCCTGCCCAGGGCCAGTGGAAAACTGACTGGGTTTTTATGGAAATGTCTTCCCAGGAGGAGGAATCAGTTATAAACAGAACCCATCTTGAAGGCCAAACAGGTGGGACAATTCCCAGCACACGGGGAAGGGCTGTCAACAGGGACAAACCGATGGAGTTGAGGGCCCTCCCCAGCTGTCACCCAGGGGCCAAGGGAGGGCCCCTACCAGGACAGCACAAATCGCTGCCCAAGGGGCCTGCACCACGATACTGACGTGTGCAGGCCGGCAGCTCCAGACACAGAAGATGGCCTTTGAAGATGCCGGGGCTGTATAGACCACGTTTATTGGTGGTGACCAAGGTGAAGGGGGCAGGGGCTTAGGAAGCACTGGGTTGCTGTTCACGGTGATGGAAAACTTGGCAATGAATACTGGTGGTGTGGCACAATGTCACTCGTGTCTCCACACTACCTATGAAAGATACTGAATTGTTCAATTTTTTGCTATGTTTTTAAAACCATTAAAAAGAGAGAGAGGCCAACATTTATGGAGGTCTATGAGCATAGTGGCTAAGGCACTTGACTGCTAACCAGAAGGCTGCCGGTTCAAACCCACCAGCCACTCCTTGGAAGGAAGATGGGGCAATCTACTTCCGTAGCGATACTGCCTCGGAAACCCAAGGAGGGGTCGCTATGGGTCGGGTCTGACTCGATGGCACATAACAACAACAACAACAACATGAGCCAAAGGAGCTCTGATGGCACAGTGGTTAAAACATTCAAAAGGGCGGTTCGAACCCACCAGCCGCTCTTTGGGAGAAATATGTGGCAGTCTGCTGACCGCCTCAGAAACTGGTTGCCTGAGCTTGATAAGATCCAAGCGAGGAAGCTATTCTTAGCACCAAGGTCCAGGAAGGACACAGCACTTGGCTGGAGTCACATACATGGGTCATGCTATTTAGGGACTCAAGTCCAGAACTGTCTGACTCCACGGCCTGTGGTCTCTCCCCAGCCCTTTACTGTTCTCTCTGTATGTAAATGGATGAGACAAGCAACTTGGGGAGCAAAGTGGAAAGCTGGCAGAGGAAACGCTGCTTCCTTTGTAGAGCGTGTGTTTAACTCAGTCACAGCCAATCTCTGCTCAGGGAATAGAGGCGGGGCAGTGGGAAAACAGGCAGAGAGAGCCTAAGCCCCTGCCACAGCCACCAAGCCGGGGGCCTCACTCCTGGCCCTGGAGGTGCTCACTTTGCCTAGCTTTATCACCTCCTGACGACCTCATCGGATGCCAATCATTCAAAGACTATACAACTCCTGCTGGCGAGGGGTGTAGCACCTGAAGTTGGATGGTGCCTTTAAGATAATGGAGTCCAACCTCACCCCACATGGACCCTCTCCCAAGGCCAGACAGAGGTTGAAGGCAGCAGGGAGAGCTCTTGGAGGGAGTTCTCCAGTAAACTGAGCCAGAATCTGCTCCAGTCATGGGGTCTCCAAGAACAGGGCCGATGCCCCACGAGGCTTTGCAGGGTTTTCACCAAAGCCTGAGTCGGAAGCACAGAAGAGAGCCTTCACTGCCCCCTCACTCAACGTCTTCCTCGATAAAACGGGGAACGACTTCAGAGGGTGGCTAGGAGGTCACAGGAAACACAGGTGGAAAACACTTAAGACTGGGGCAAACCTATTCAAGTGGCCAACAAACATATGAAGACATCATTAGCTATTAGAGAGATGCAAATCAAAACAACAATGAGGTACCATCTTGCTCCAGCACTAGTAGCAAAGTTCAACAAGACAGAAAATAACAAATGCTGGCGAGGTTGTGGAGAGATTGGGACTCTCGTACACTGCTGGTGGGACTGTAAAATGGTACAACCATTGTGGAAAGCAGTATGGTGATTCCTTCAAAAGCTGGAATTAGAAATACCATTTGATCCAGCCATTCCATTACTAGGTATATACCCTAAAGAAGTGAGAGCCATGACAAGAACAGATACATGCACACCCATGTTCATCGCAACACTATTTACAATAGCCAAAAGATGGAAACAACCTAGGTGTCCATCAGCTGAGGAATGGATAACCAAACTATGGTACATACACACAATGAAATACTATGCAACACTAAAGAATAATGTAGAATCTGCAAAACACCACATAATACGGATGAACTTGGAGGACATTATGCTGAGTGAAATAAGTCAATCACAAAAGGACAAATATTGTATTAGTCCGTTATTGTAAAAGTTAAGGAAAGGTTTATCTGTAGAAGGAAATTTTCTTTGTTGGTTACCAGGGGTGGGGGGGGGAAGGCTGTTAGATAAAGTATTAATTTGGGTGAAGAGAAGGGCAATGTACCAAATGTGAGTGACCAATATGGCACCATTGAGGATGAGAAAGACATAGAGAAGTACATGGGAGGTACAGACAACAAATATGAACCCTTTTGCACATACAGTACTGTGTTGTCAGTGAAGGCAAACATGGGTATATGGATGGATAGATGGGTGGATAGGCTAAACGATTAGGTATGTCTATGAAATGAGGAGTGTATCCAAGAACATATATAGGGTTGGCAGACAATGGTCCTATAAGTTTATGTGAATGATCAGAATTCCCAGGTGTATAGTAGAGCTGACAAGGGGCTGACAAGGGGCAAGGTTGTGGTCACTGCTCGGTCACAACCAGTTACCCAGAGGGACTGAGTAGTTGAAACTGCGGGCTTGGGACCATAGTCGCAGGGGACATCAAGCTCAATTGACATAACATACTATACAAAACATTGTTCCACCTCCTACTTTGGCAAGTAGCGACTGGGATCTTAAAAGCTAGCAACCTGCCATCTAGATGCAATGATGGGTCTCTCCTCGTCTAGAGCAAAGAAGAATGAAGAAAACCAAAATTCATGGAAACACAATTAGTCCTAGCGACTGGTACACCATCTGATCTGCAGCCTATACAACTATGAGACCAGAAGAACTAGATGGTGCCCGGCTACCACTGTCATCCACTTGGAAGGGGATCTATGTAGGAGATCCTTGAAGAGAGGGTGAACAATGTGGAAGAAAACTCAAAATCATTTGGAGGAAAAAAAAAGAAGGTGGGGACCAGGTTTGCTGGTCCAATAAGAGTCTGGTGGAACTACTGAGACTATGGCCCCTAGCTGCCTTTCAGGTCTGGAATTGAACCCACACCTGTGTTTCCAGCCAAACAAAATACAGGCATATGAGTTGAACATTTACCTCAAGTAGATACAGTCTTTGGAGAGAACAATCATGGGAGAAAGAAGGGCTGCTTATGCACAGGGAGACAGCTCAGGGGGCAGGAGTGTATGGAGGGATGGACACTGGAAGAGGTAACTATGGGGAGGAAGTGGGAGGGGAGCTGTTGCATTGTGGTAAACTGTGGTCAGTGACATGAGACAAAGTATATGTGAACTGCTGTATGGGAAAGTGAATTTGCTCTGTAAATCTTCACCCAAATCACACACACACACACACACGCACAAAAGACTGGGGCAAACCCCAGCTCCGTGGAAATTCTGTCATGGGAACTTGTAGGACTGCGGGATAAGGCGCCCATCCATCCTGGTATGCCTGGAACATTGCCTGTTTCCGCCTGTCATCCTGGCTCAGGGTTGTGGCTGGGTGCTAAGGTAGCTTCACTCTGGCCAATGCCGTCACCTCTCCGATTTCTGAGCTCATACCGCTGCTTGAAAGTTAGAGTCCCCACTTCTTCCCGTGTTGCAGGGTCCTCCTCTACCCCTAAGTCTGCTCAGACACTTGTTCACGATGCCATGTCGCAACTGGACATTCTAGGAAATAAATGCATGCACTACATTTATTTAGTGTCGGTAAAGACCACCCACTCTGTTAGGGCTTTCACATCGATTCCCTCAACATCACACCATGGCGGCGGTGCTGGTCGCCGTCATCGTGGAGTCGGCTTGGACTCACGGAGCGGAGCAACCGTGTACCACAGGAGACCGTGCCTGGTCCCGAGCCTTCTTCGGCACCGCTGGCACGTTGCACTGCGCTGCGGCAGCCACCT